TCCCGACCGGTACCCACTGCCGATCATTGAGGACATTCTCCAAGCTAGCAAGGGCACCGTCTTCTCCGTTATCGACCTCCAGAGGGCCTTCTACCAGATCCCGATGGCGGAAGAGGCCATCGCCAAGACCGCCGTTACCACACCCTTCGGCCTGTTCGAGTTCGTCGGCATGCCACTGGGCCTACGGAACTCTGCGCAGACTCTGCAGCGCACCATGGATCACCTCCTGCGGAAATTCGACTTTGTCCAGTGCTACGTGGACGACTTCCTGGTCTCTTAAGACATAAGAGGCATGTTCGTGAGGTAATGAGGCGTTTGGAGGAATATGATCTAGTGATAAATGTGGATAAATGTGTTTTTGGTTCCCAGTGTGTAAAATTTTTGGGCTATCAGGTTTCGAAAGAAGGAACATCACCTCTGCCAGAAAAAGTGCAAACAATAAATCAATATCCACTGCCAGAAAGTAAAAAGGACTTAAGAAGATTTCTGGGAATTATAAACTACTATAGACGTTTTATTCCACAGGCAGCTTCGAAGCAGTCCATTCTTCACGAATTTTTGAAAAATAGTCGTAGGAATGACTCCAGCCCAATAACTTGGACTGAGGAATCGTTGGAAGCATTTCAACAGAGTAAACAGGACCTGGCCGATGCTATGACGCTGGTACACCCATGCATTGACGCACCCCTATCATTAACGGTTGATGCCTCGGATGTGGCCGTAGGAGGAGTAATCGAACAGTTTGAAAACGGTATGTGGAAACCTTTGAGTTTTTTCTCGTTTTTTTTCTCGTTTTTTCTCTCAAAAATTGTCTCCAGCACAAAGGAGATACAGCACATATGATAGAGAGCTGCTTTCTATGTACTTGTCTATTAAGCATTTCCGTCATTTTCTTGAAGGCAAAACCTTCACTATATTCACCGATCATTTGCCTTTGACATTTGCGTTCGCTCAAAATCCCGAAAAGGCTTCACCTAGACAAGCCCGGCAACTCGATTTTATTGGACAATTTTCGACACAAATAATACATGTTAAGGGTAAATCCAATGTGGTGGCTGACGCGTTGAGTAGAATAAACATAAGCTCGATTAATGCGCCAAAAGCGATTGATTATGACCTATTTCAACAACATCAAGCTACAGACTCGGAACTTCAGAGTATTTTAAGTAATCCTAATTCATCATCACTCAGGCTTCAGAAAATTTCGTTTCCAAACGCAAAAGTTCAGATATATTGTGACATTTACAATGATAAAATCAGACCGTTTGTTCCCAATTCACTGCGTAAATTGATTTTTAATCAACTCCATAAACTGGCACATCCCAGTATTCGGGCTACTACTAAATTAGTGACTGAAAGATTTGTATGGCCTCGAATGAATAAAGATATTCACACTTGGACGAAGGGCTGTATCGACTGTCAGAAAGCAAAAATCTATCGACATACAAATACACCTTTTCACCGAATTGAAGTACCCAATGAGCGATTTCAAGAAATTAATATCGATCTGATAGGACCGCTTCCTCCGTCGAGAGGTTTTACATATTGTTTGACTTGTATCGACCGTTACACTTGTTGGGCAGAGGCTTTTCCTATAAGTGATATGACTGCTGAGACTGTTGCTCGATCGCTATATGATGGATGGATTTCCAGATTTGGCTGTCCACAGAAGATCGTCACCGACCAGGGCAAACAATTCGAAAGCTCATTATTTCATTCGCTTGCCTGTCTTATAGGGGCAAAAAGGGTTCGAATAACTCCTTATCATCCCCAAACCAACGGGAAAATAGAAAGATGGCATAGAACATTAAAGAGTGCTATTAAATGTTATGGTACCGAGCGGTGGACCGATGTCCTACCTTCGGTATTATTAGGGTTACGTAGTGTTATGAGAGAGGACTGTAATGCTAGCCCAGCAGAAATGGTTTATGGTTCAACACTTCGACTACCGGGAGAATTTTTGAATCCATCATCAACTTCCACAGATACTAATACATTCGTTGCAACGTTGAAAGAGAAGATGAGCCTGCTCAGTCCGGTACATTCGAAATTTCAACAAAGGAAAGTATTTGTTCCTCAGGAGATGGATACGTGCACACATGTGTTTATAAGAGTGGACAAGGATAAAAAGCCTTTTCAGCAACCTTATGACGGGCCATTCGCGGTAGTGTCTAAAAGTGAAAAGGGTAAAAATTTACTTTAGCGGAAATCGACGTCGGCGTCGAAACAAAGTTTTTCCTATGTAGAATGACGAACCTATGTAGAATGACGTTATTAACGATGACGTTATTTTGCACGATCACAATTATACGCTACAAGCCATCTCGGTTAGAAATAAGAGAGTTACATTTTCATGTTTGTTTTGAATTTACTTTTATTTGTTTATATTTTGTAGCTTAGCTGATATCTGTCAGTCTGTCTTTTGTCATGTCATAGTTTTAATTTGATTGGCTCCACCATCAGAGGGGGAGTAATGTTACCGACATTGATACTGTCGACATTTGACAGAAGTCAGAAGTCAACTAAGGCTCAAGGGCATTCTTAATATAACAATTCCAATTTCGTTAGTAATGTCGTAATTTCGTTTCGAACTTGATAGCACGTGCTCGCGACGGAGTCGCACACCCGTCTGTAACCTTTCTGATTTCTTAAATCAATAAATTTCTATATGTGAGAGGGTGATCGGATTATTATTTACGCTACCCCGTTACCCATCTCCAAATCTTATACAGGGTGTCCCAAAATTCAGGCCCGTCCTTTCAGAATATGATTCAGTGGGCTAAAACAAATTAAATTTTAAGAGTAAAATTTTTTCGTTTTGTCCTGTGACATTTGTAGACGAGAACATATGCTACAGAGGGTTCGTGATTCAATTATAAATCGTGCGAATGTTTGCATTGAAGTAGGCGGCGATTTGTTTGAACACCTTTTATAAATTATTCGTTTTTATGTTTTTTATGTTCTTATGTTTAATAATGTTTCTTTGTTACTTTGTTTTAATTAAAGTTTTAGTTGAATTTAAAAATTTTTGTTTTTTATCAATAACTCGGTTATCAAGGACAAAACGAAAAAATTTTATTCTTAAAATTTAATTTGTTTTAACCCGCTGAATCATATTCTGAAAGGACGGGCGTGAATTTTGGGACACCCTGTATATACTAAAACCCCAGGCGACATCCTATTGATTGGAGAGTTTTATTCTTTTTGAATTATTCGGGGACAGAGAGGGGTGTAGGAAGATGAAAACGGACCCGCTGATTACGAAAATGACCGTCTTTTCACCGGCTAAATTCGTTTTCGCTCACAATCGCGATTTGAAAGTGAAAATTGTCGGCCATGTTGAAAATTTTTGAAGTGTACGTAATTTTGTGTCATTTTTCGATCTTTCGCGTGGATCCGAATTTTGCCGAACCTGCACTCGGCGAACCGATCTCCGAGAAATTTTCAAATTACTTGAGTAAATGTAAGTAAATGAATAAAAAATCGTTTCTACGAGCGTTTTATTGAATAATTTGTAAAAATAAACGAGAATAAATAACCAGCTAAAAAATTTTCGTCGAGAAATTCGGAAATGTCAACAGTGTCATTTGAAACTGCCGACGGGACGGGTCGTTTGCGCTTCGATCCGCCTAATTTCGCTTTTTTTATGGATTTTCAGCGTTAAATTCAAGGTAAGTTAGCTTATTTGACCATTTAATACCTTTACAAAACAATCTACGGTAAAGTTTACCAAGTCGATAATGCGCAAGCGCCAATAACGTCAAATTCTGTGTTCTGACAGTTTCAAAAACTGTGCATCGTTGGCAATGTGTATTTAATTTCAGTAAATGGACAGAAATATTTGTTTTAGATAAAAAATAATTATTATTAAACGGGAGTAAAAGAGGGTACAGGAGAAGGTAGGGATGGTTAGAATAGGGTAGAAGGGGGTACGAAGGATAGAAGGAGTAGGAAGGGTAGTGTAGAAGAGGTGATGTAGAGGTAGAGGATGGTAGCGGAGGCTAGATGGGGGTAGGGAAAGGTAGGTTAATATACTTTAAATTTTTCATAAAATAACAATTTACACAATCTGGCAACGATACACAGTTTTTGACGCTGTCAAAACACAGAATTTGACGTTATTGGCGCATGCGCGTTAACCCGCTTCGACTTAGTAAACTTTACCCAATCTACGATATTTAAATGGTCCCGTATAAGAAATAACCCATTTAAAACATTGTAGGTTAAGTTTCATAAAGCCGCTTTTTAACCAAATTATTTTACTTTTTAGAGGACCTGCAGCATATATTTGACAAAAAATACCTAACTGAAGATGAGAAAAAGGACCCAGTACGCATATTGTGTCAAATTTCCTTGATTATTAGTCAAAATTTGGATTCGAAGAATGGTCTACATAGAAAATTCTATCTCAATACATGGTGTTACATTTGGAGGAATACCACTTTTTTGGTGTAAGAACCAATTCCAAAGTATGGATATGTCGAAAGAGAACTAAGTAAGCGTCGTTTTAAAGCGAAAATGATTAAAATCGGTCCAGAAATAACGAAGATGAATGAACCAATATGAACCAAAAGTATAAGCTGCTTAAATCGTAAGTACTTGATAAAATGTTCTATTAGCACAAAATATCATTCGATTAAGATTGTTTTATACGAAAATCGTAAAAAATTATTGATATTTAATAAAGTATCGAATGATTTTTTGTTACCCGTAGAATAAAAAGGAACGTTAGATTCTTGTTTTACTTATAATTTTCCCTTATTTTGCAGGATTGACACTGAAAAATAGGAAGTAAATGACTACTAGAAACGTAAAGCAAACCACCAACAACAATTAGGACAATATTTTGGATTTTTTCTGCGATTTTTACCATTCTTCGAAACATCTTTTACTTCGATCGGAGTATCTTCGGGTACCAGAATAATGTATTTAAAACGTAAGTACTTACTAATATTATGTTAACAGGACCAAATATCATTCGAATACACTTATTTGAAACAGAAATCATTAAAATAGGTTGAAAAATAACTTGGTAACGAATGATTTTTTGTTATAATTAAAATAGGCAAAGGAAAAGGGCAAATTTGAGTAATTTGGAGTTTCATGGTATTATCTACCGTTTTCTACCTTTATTAAAATGCTCTTAATTTCAAAATGAATACTAAAAAGGTAAGAATTGAATTTTCTATAAGAATAAACCCATTTTTAATGATTTTTTTTTCTATTTTTCAGGATTATGAAAGCTGTTTCAAGACTTTCGAAAGACTATTGGAAAGCGAAATGATTATCCATATAGTTAATATGGACAATTTGGAGAGTTTCTTGGAATTTCGAACTTTTTCTTCCGTTTTAAAAACAACTTTGCCTTCAAAAAGAATGCTAAAAAAGGTAAGAATTAAATTACCTTTGAGAATAAACCCTTTTTTATTGATTTTTTTTCTATTTTTCAGGATTATGAAAGCTGTTTCAAGACTTATAAGAGACTATTGGAAAGCGAAATGATTATCCATATAGTTAATATGGACAATTTGGAGAGTTTCTTGGAATTTCGAACTTTTTCTTCCGTTTTAAAAAACAACTTTTCCTTCAAAATGAATGCTAAAAAGGTAAGAATTAAATTTTCTATAAGAATAAACCCTTTTTTATTGATTTTTTTTCTATTTTTCAGAATTATGAAAGCTGTTTCAAGACTTATAAGAGACTATTGGAAAGCGAAATGATTATCCATATAGTTAATATGGACAATTTGGAGAGTTTCTTGGAATTTCGAACTTTTTCTTCCGTTTTAAAAACAACTTTTCCTTCAAAATGAATGCTAAAAAGGTAAGAATTAAATTTTCTATAAGAATAAACCCATTTTTAATGATTTTTTTTCTATTTTTCAGAATTATGAAAGCTGTTTCAAGACTTTCAAGAGACTATTGGAAAGCGAAATGATTATCCATATAGTTAATATGGACAATTTGGAGAGTTTCTTGGAATTTCGAACTTTTTCTTCCGTTTTAAAAACAACTTTTCCTTCAAAATGAATGCTAAAAAGGTAAGAATTAAATTTTCTATAAGAATAAACCCATTTTTAATGATTTTTTTTCTATTTTTCAGAATTATGAAAGCTGTTTCAAGACTTTCGAAAGACTATTGGAAAGCGAAATGATTATCCATATAGTTAATATGGACAATTTGGAGAGTTTCTTGGAATTTCGAACTTTTTCTTCCGTTTTAAAAACAACTTTTCCTTCAAAATGAATGCTAAAAAGGTAAGAATTAAATTTTCTATAAGAATAAACCCTTTTTTATTGATTTTTTTTCTATTTTTCAGAATTATGAAAGCTGTTTCAAGACTTATAAGAGACTATTGGAAAGCGAAATGATTATCCATATAGTTAATATGGACAATTTGGAGAGTTTCTTGGAATTTCGAACTTTTTCTTCCGTTTTAAAAACAACTTTTCCTTCAAAATGAATGCTAAAAAGGTAAGAATTAAATTTTCTATAAGAATAAACCCTTTTTTATTGATTTTTTTTCTATTTTTCAGGATTATGAAAGCTGTTTCAAGACTTATAAGAGACTATTGGAAAGCGAAATGATTATCCATATAGTTAATATGGACAATTTGGAGAGTTTCTTGGAATTTCGAACTTTTTCTTCCGTTTTAAAAACAACTTTTCCTTCAAAATGAATGCTAAAAAGGTAAGAATTAAATTTTCTATAAGAATAAACCCTTTTTTATTGATTTTTTTTCTATTTTTCAGGATTATGAAAGCTGTTTCAAGACTTATAAGAGACTATTGGAAAGCGAAATGATTATCCATATAGTTAATATGGACAATTTGGAGAGTTTCTTGGAATTTCGAACTTTTTCTTCCGTTTTAAAAACAACTTTTCCTTCAAAATGAATGCTAAAAAGGTAAGAATTAAATTTTCTATAAGAATAAACCCTTTTTTATTGATTTTTTTTCTATTTTTCAGAATTATGAAAGCTGTTTCAAGACTTATAAGAGACTATTGGAAAGCGAAATGATTATCCATATAGTTAATATGGACAATTTGGAGAGTTTCTTGGAATTTCGAACTTTTTCTTCCGTTTTAAAAACAACTTTTCCGTCAAAATGAATGCTAAAAAGGTAAGAATTAAATTTTCTATAAGAATAAACCCTTTTTTATTGATTTTTCTTCTATTTTTCAGAATTATGAAAGCTGTTTCAAGACTTATAAGAGACTATTGGAAAGCGAAATGATTATCCATATAGTTAATATGGACAATTTGGAGAGTTTCTTGGAATTTCGAACTTTTTCTTCCGTTTTAAAAACAACTTTTCCTTCAAAAAGAATGCTAAAAAGGTAAGAATTAAATTACCTTTGAGAATGAACCCTTTTTTAATGATTTTTTTTTCTATTTTTCAGGATTATGAAAGCTGTTTCAAGACTTATAAGAGACTATTGGAAAGCGAAATGATTATCCATATAGTTAATATGGACAATTTGGAGAGTTTCTTGGAATTTCGAACTTTTTCTTCCGTTTTAAAAACAACTTTTCCTTCAAAATGAATGCTAAAAAGGTAAGAATTAAATTACCTTTGAGAATGAACCCTTTTTTAATGATTTTTTTTTTCTATTTTTCAGGATTATGAAAGCTGTTTCAAGACTTATAAGAGACTATTGGAAAGCGAAATGATTATCCATATAGTTAATATGGACAATTTGGAGAGTTTCTTGGAATTTCGAACTTTTTCTTCCGTTTTAAAAACAACTTTGCCTTCAAAATGAATGCTAAAAAGGTAAGAATTAAATTACCTTTGAGAATGAACCCTTTTTTAATGATTTTTTTTCTATTTTTCAGGATTATGAAAGCTGTTTCAAGACTTATAAGAGACTATTGGAAAGCGAAATGATTATCCATATAGTTAATATGGACAATTTGGAGAGTTTCTTGGAATTTCGAACTTTTTCTTCCGTTTTAAAAACAACTTTTCCTTCAAAATGAATGCTAAAAAGGTAAGAATTAAATTACCTTTGAGAATGAACCCTTTTTTAATGATTTTTTTTTTCTATTTTTCAGGATTATGAAAGCTGTTTCAAGACTTATAAGAGACTATTGGAAAGCGAAATGATTATCCATATAGTTAATATGGACAATTTGGAGAGTTTCTTGGAATTTCGAACTTTTTCTTCCGTTTTAAAAACAACTTTTCCTTCAAAATGAATGCTAAAAAGGTAAGAATTAAATTTTCTATAAGAATAAACCCTTTTTTATTGATTTTTTTTCTATTTTTCAGGATTATGAAAGCTGTTTCAAGACTTATAAGAGACTATTGGAAAGCGAAATGATTATCCATATAGTTAATATGGACAATTTGGAGAGTTTCTTGGAATTTCGAACTTTTTCTTCCGTTTTAAAAACAACTTTTCCTTCAAAATGAATGCTAAAAAGGTAAGAATTAAATTTTCTATAAGAATAAACCCTTTTTTATTGATTTTTTTTCTATTTTTCAGAATTATGAAAGCTGTTTCAAGACTTATAAGAGACTATTGGAAAGCGAAATGATTATCTATATAGTTAATATGGACAATTTGGAGAGTTTCTTGGAATTTCGAACTTTTTCTTCCGTTTTAAAAACAACTTTTCCTTCAAAATGAATGCTAAAAAGGTAAGAATTAAATTTTCTATAAGAATAAACCCTTTTTTATTGATTTTTTTTCTATTTTTCAGAATTATGAAAGCTGTTTCAGGACTTATAAGAGACTATTGGAAAGCGAAATGATTATCAATATAGTTAATATGGACAATTTGGAGAGTTTCTTGGAATTTCGAACTTTTTCTTCCGTTTTAAAAACAACTTTTCCGTCAAAATGAATGCTAAAAAGGTAAGAATTAAATTTTCTATAAGAATAAACCCTTTTTTATTGATTTTTCTTCTATTTTTCAGAATTATGAAAGCTGTTTCAAGACTTATAAGAGACTATTGGAAAGCGAAATGATTATCCATATAGTTAATATGGACAATTTGGAGAGTTTCTTGGAATTTCGAACTTTTTCTTCCGTTTTAAAAACAACTTTGCCTTCAAAAAGAATGCTAAAAAGGTAAGAATTAAATTACCTTTGAGAATGAACCCTTTTTTATTGATTTTTTTTTCTATTTTTCAGGATTATGAAAGCTGTTTCAAGACTTTCAAGAAACTATTGGAAAGCGAAATGATTATCCATATAGTTAATATGAACAATTTGGAGAGTTTCTTGGAATTTCGAACTTTTTCTTCCGTTTTAAAAACAACTTTTCCGTCAAAATGAATGCTAAAAAGGTAAGAATTAAATTTTCTATAAGAATAAACCCTTTTTTATTGATTTTTCTTCTATTTTTCAGAATTATGAAAGCTGTTTCAAGACTTATAAGAGACTATTGGAATGCGAAATGATTATCCATATAGTTAATATGGACAATTTGGAGAGTTTCTTGGAATTTCGAACTTTTTCTTCCGTTTTAAAAACAACTTTGCCTTCAAAAAGAATGCTAAAAAGGTAAGAATTAAATTACCTTTGAGAATGAACCCTTTTTTAATGATTTTTTTTTCTATTTTTCAGGATTATGAAAGCTGTTTCAAGACTTATAAGAGACTATTGGAAAGCGAAATGATTATCCATATAGTTAATATGGACAATTTGGAGAGTTTCTTGGAATTTCGAACTTTTTCTTCCGTTTTAAAAACAACTTTGCCTTCAAAATGAATGCTAAAAAGGTAAGAATTAAATTACCTTTGAGAATGAACCCTTTTTTAATGATTTTTTTTTTCTATTTTTCAGGATTATGAAAGCTGTTTCAAGACTTATAAGAGATTATTGGAAAGCGAAATGATTATCCATATAGTTAATATGGACAATTTGGAGAGTTTCTTGGAATTTCGAACTTTTTCTTCCGTTTTAAAAACAACTTTGCCTTCAAAATGAATGCTAAAAAGGTAAGAATTAAATTACCTTTGAGAATGAACCCTTTTTTAATGATTTTTTTTTTCTATTTTTCAGGATTATGAAAGCTGTTTCAAGACTTATAAGAGACTATTGGAAAGCGAAATGATTATCCATATAGTTAATATGGACAATTTGGAGAGTTTCTTGGAATTTCGAACTTTTTCTTCCGTTTTAAAAACAACTTTTCCTTCAAAATGAATGCTAAAAAGGTAAGAATTAAATTACCTTTGAGAATGAACCCTTTTTTATTGATTTTTTTTTCTATTTTTCAGGATTATGAAAGCTGTTTCAAGACTTATAAGAGACTATTGGAAAGCGAAATGATTATCCATATAGTTAATATGAACAATTTGGAGAGTTTCTTGGAATTTCGAACTTTTTCTTCCGTTTTAAAAACAACTTTTCCTTCAAAATGAATGCTAAAAAGGTAAGAATTAAATTTTCTATAAGAATAAACCCTTTTTTATTGATTTTTTCTATTTTTCAGGATTATGAAAGCTGTTTCAAGACTTATAAGAGACTATTGGAAAGCGAAATGATTATCCATATAGTTAATATGGACAATTTGGAGAGTTTCTTGGAATTTCGAACTTTTTCTTCCGTTTTAAAAACAACTTTGCCTTCAAAAAGAATGCTAAAAAGGTAAGAATTAAATTACCTTTGAGAATGAACCCTTTTTTAATGATTTTTTTTTCTATTTTTCAGGATTATGAAAGCTGTTTCAAGACTTATAAGAGACTATTGGAAAGCGAAATGATTATCCATATAGTTAATATGGACAATTTGGAGAGTTTCTTGGAATTTCGAACTTTTTCTTCCGTTTTAAAAACAACTTTTCCTTCAAAAT